ATTCATTTTTCATAATGTTTAGTGAAATTATTTGGTAGTCTGCAGGTGGGATGGGGATTCGGGAAAGGGGAGCTCGAACCAGTTACATATCAAGTAACAAACATACTAAAGAACCCAAAATATATTTACCCCCGGTTTCACAGACAAGGCTTAAGCCTAGTTCTAGACAAATGTAAATCTGAGCTGTTTCAACTGAAAGAAACTTGCACCGACTGATCTTAAAAAATGTCAGTGCTTTGATTCGTCTTAAGATGCACACCAGTAATGCTTTTTTCTAAGGCATGTTTATAAAAATTACTTAAATGTCCTAATTGAACTACGGCCTAATCCTGGCTTAGGCTAAGCCCTATATATGAAACCGGGCCATAATGTTTAACCCTACACCTGCATGCTTGCTAATATTCCATTGTGTGCATAAACAGCAAATGTGCTTACAGTAAATGCACCAGAGTCAGAAGTCTGTAGAAACATGGAACATGTGGTACATCAACTACACTGAAAACTAAATATTTATTTAACAGGACTCAAGACAGTCCTGGCTGTCTACACTACGGTTCAAAAGTTTGATGTCGTAATGATTTTTTTATTATTTCTTATATAGGCTCACATAGGCTGTACATTTGTTCAAAAATAGGAGTAAAACTTTTTTTATATAGTTTTTTCTTTTTAAATATACTATAAAATGTCATTTATTCCTGTGATGGTAAGGCTGTATTCTCAGCAGCCATTTCTCCAGTAATCATTGTCACATGATCTTTCAGAAATCATTCTAATATGCTAATTTGGTGCTCAAGAAACATTTATCATCAATGTTGAAAACAGTCGTGCTGCTTTATATTTTTTTGTGGAAACCATGATACATTTGCTGAATATGAAGCTCAAAAGAACAGCATTCATTTGAAAGAAAAAAAAAAAAGTCTCATCAATGTAATGCATCCTTGCAGAAAAAAATATTAATCTTAAAGAGCAGGTCATATGGTATTTTAAAGTGTCCTAATATTGTGTTGGAGTCTCCTACAACAGGTTTAAATGCATGTAAGGTCAGAAAACATTGTAATTTTCTCAGAATATACATTTAATATTGGAGTCATTTGCCAATGATTTCGAAACGATTCGTTCCAAGCAAGCTCGGAGCAAACCCCTCCCTTCCATAAGCCTACACTGCTCTGATTGGTCAGCTGGCCAAGCCTGCTGTGATTGGCACAGAGAGGAGTCCTTGAGCAAGATAGCGAGCACTACCATTGACAAAGCACCTTTACATAAAACAATATAGT